TAAGTGGAGAGAAAATGATATTATTTTAAGAAACATCTTAAACACTGAAAAGCATATCTATGTCGTCTCATTTATCATACGTCTGTCATTCTGTCAGGTACCGTAATATGCACACTTTCTTAAAATCCACATATCAAGTAGACATCGTCTGGAGGGTCCAGATTACAGCGCGACAAAAAGCCAAGTCGTCCCACTTTTCTCTAATTCGCGTGAAGGAACAGCCGCAGAACGGTGCATTATGTCCCCGGAACTCGCACATCAAAGTGAGTTCACCAGCGCCGACCTGCACCTTTTTATCCGACGCGACTCTTCTTTGAAAACTCTTCTCAGAGCTCGTAGTCCGCGAATCAACAGAAATATCATTGTCCACGATAGTCTCTCTCCGGTCGGGGACACAAAAAGAAGCAGCGAGAGTTGCGCGTTGAAAGGCATATTTAACCCTGTCTTGTGCAGGTTGACGAGCATCAAAGAGGAAAATCCAGTGGGTTACGCTGAACGTGGAGAGAACGCCACCTAAAAATAGAGAATCGCACGAAACGCGTGTACCGACGACGACCTCGCCCCAAAAAGGGGAAGAGACGAAGGAGGGCTGACAATGAGCACGGTAGGAAACAGGAGATCCAGCCGACAGTGTGACATTTCAGTGATTTAGCGAGACGAAATTTAATTTTGACACAGAGTTCCAAGATTTGTACAAATTTAACAAGCACATCTAAATAAATTTATTCGAATCTAATTCAAATCTAACTTATTTTAATCTAGCCTTTTTACTTTTTGTACAGTATGTCAATCAAACTGAAAAAGTTTTATATTTCTATTCATTTCTATGAAATAAGGAAGAATTTTAAAGCACATTTGATTTCTCGGTTGCCGCGATTGATTCGTTGTTTTAATAATAAAATAAAACTTTCGAAGAAGACTGGAATTAAATAGCGAAGATTGGTCGCTAAACTGCATAATTCCCTCGGAAACGTCGTGCCAGATTGTTAAAATGTTACAGCGCGACGACAAAACTGTCGTGCGACCAAGTGAACCGAGTCAACGGCCCGCGAGAAGCGGAAGGGGCGGAAACGGCCGAGTCGCGCATAAATAAGCGGCTGGAAACCACAATGCTTTTGCGGGGACGTCGCGTGTGGGCAGAGACGCGCTACGGTACGAGCCTCTTGACCTCAAAATCAATGTGAAACAATTTGACTGACGACCTCTGCTGTGGCACGTCGTAAATCATAGCCGCGTCGAAGGAGACGCTGTGCAAGCCGTGCATTTGTTCCCGCGAACCCGTGCCAAGCTAGAAAGTAGAGAATAGCAGAAACCTTTCCCTGCGTGCGAGCCGCGGATGAATTTTTCCGATTTCTCACGAGGCGACGTTCCTGAACGGTCATCGATGACAATAGCACGCATGAAAATACGTACCTCGAAAATACGTTTCTTTCGTTGGCGAGGAGTCACGTAAGTACTTACGTGTAGTTGAACGTTTCGGGTTGAAACATGGTGACAGACGTCGGGATTTCAACGAGATTGTTGATAAAGTTTGATTGATCTGTTACTGAAAATCGTTGAAATTTATTGAAAATTAGGGAGAACGATTCTTAATTGCAATTTTGACTTCATTGAATTGCTGTGCGAATAATTTGTATTTTGGTGAATTATATTTAAGGTTTTGTTAATACTTATTTCACTGAAGAATTGTGTAGATAATCTGTGCTTGTAATGCAACTTGCAATTCGTATTTCTAATCTCTTAAAATACGATATAGTAAAATTTTATTATTGTAGTTATTATTGAAAATAATGAAAAGAGGTGTTTGGCAGCAACTTTTAGTTGACTGAAGTGTTGTATGACTATTTTGTGCTTGGAGATCTTCACAATTTGTATTCGAAACTTTTATTTCATGGAAGAATTGTTCTTCGAATTTACAGAGCTTCATTTAAATCGAAACCAGTCCATTTACGATCTACCCTTGTTGCTTCATCAAAGCAACCCAAAACGAGGAGCACAAATCATGCTCGACTAGTAGACATAGTAAAAGCATCTCTTGTTGGCGGTGCGTAAGTGGATTTCACCCTCGTCTCAGGCGATTATAATCACCACAGCCGATCGATGATCGGCACGTTTCGTCGTGGCACGTGACTCCCTTTGCCGACCGTTTCACGATTCGTTGTCCACCACTCGTTAGGCTAGTCTCGGGATTTACGATTTTACCGTGCGAAATACGCGCGAATAATCAAGAGAAAAAGAGGCAGAGAGGAAAGATTTCGCGCGGCGGGGCATGTAGCGCATGGCACAAGGAGCGGAATCGACTGTAATGACTGTGAAGCATCCCTGCGAGGTCGATCCGCGGCCGAGCATTATGCTTTCGTAAAATATCACGGTCAGTCGCGCCACGAATGGAAGTCGACGATGATCATGCTTCCTTTACATCGCGCGTACATAAAGTGTGAGACACGCGTTGCGTGTGACCCGCGTCGCGCAATCAGCGTCGCGTTAACGCACGGTATTCAACCTTGTCGCGGAAAAATAACGTTGATCAAGGTCGACGTCGGCTGTCTCGATCATGGTAGCATAGTTGCTGCAGGAGATGTGATGACATAGTGAAATTTGTCAAGTAACTTAAAATACTTTGGAGAACATAAGGTATTAAATCCTCATTCACAATCATGCGATGTTAACTAGAAACTATCTCTAAAAAATGTGTAAATTAATTTTTACAAGTATAAATAAATTTTTTTTAACACAGCCGTTATTAAACAAAAAGTTATACAGATTTAATATCATAGAATTTCAATGAAACATAGCCTGATATTTAAAGGATTTCTAACGTTGTACAATGTGTAAATATAACTTTGTGCTTTGTTTCAACTAAACTAATTAAACAATCTCATATTTATGAAATGTATTCCTAAAGATCTTCTTGTAAAAAATGATTTTACTTATCTATTCAAATTTATTATTTATTTTATTTGTAATTTGTTATATGGCAGAGACAGTGACAAAGAAAAGTCAGAGAGAAATACTATACATTCCATAAAATGTAAACTAAAACATGCATAATCGAAGTGCAGTTTCATCACAAATACTATAAGTATTGGATTTTAATATAACTTGTATCACATCGATATCGCTGATTTACATCGGCAAGAAATTAATACAGTTAACTGTAAAATGAAAATACGTTTGTCATGAAATAGCAATTGCTACGTTATGCAAATCGTTGCTACAGACATGTTTCTAGAACTGCGTTTGTTTTATTCAACAGAGCACATTCGTTCAAAGTTTTCCTATTTTTCCGAGATCTTAACAAGTCGATTACAACACGCTCTCGTTACATTTGCTTCGTTGTATCTATTCAACTGAACGGCACACGTTAACATGCATTAACCATAAGCGCGTCCTGCATTTTTAGAAGTACGATCGGACAATCTCGAGTGTCAAGCGTCCTCGCAGTAACTGAAACAATAATTAACTCTGTCGCGTTTCGTTATGTGCGACGCAACGAGCGGGCAGCGAAACTTTCAAGTCTCGAAAGCTTATCTGACACTCTGAATCAGTGAACAGTAGACCTACGAAACAAGCGAGTGCCATCATTAGAATTCGTGTCGTTTCCTCTACACAGCCTGAAGGACTGATTCGAAGTTCCATGCTCGAATAATTTTGTAACCACTTTTACAACGATCCGCGAGTCCCTATAACGATTCTTTATTTCATGCCGATTACGGATTAGCAATACGAGAAAATGTTTCACTTTCGTATTCCTACTGGATTTATATTAAATGTAATTAATAAAGTTGTTCTCCGATTCTTAAGTAAAATCTTAACACGGTCGTTGCTGGTGATTTTATAGAAATCCTAAAATAGAAAAGTACATTGTGATTAAAGCAAAGATAGGAATTTGAAGAGTTGTCTTTTAAATATTATATTTTATGTCACTTTTTGTCGTTTATTATAATTCAAATAGATGCAAAAAATTCTTGAGGTTTCTGAGATAAAAAATAGTAAAACATACCTCACTATCATTATCATTTTGCAATAAAATACCTTTTATTATGTTATCTAGGTATTTCAGATGGAATTATTGATGAAGATCTATTTATTCCTTGAATGGGACATTCTACGAAACGTTTAATTCATCATTCCGTATTTTGTGCTTATAGAGCTCTGAAATATAGGAATACGCAGTTCGGAGGAAGCCATAAAAAAGCATAGGGTTATTTTCTCGTCGCTTTATCGGGTGAAGAAGAATGTTCCATTCATACTTTTACACACCATTTATGGACGCCTTATGTGTGCGATATCAGCCTTATCAGCACTTCTACGCCGCCTACAATTTAATGCGGCTGTATGCGCATGTAGAGCTATCGGAAAAGGAAAGACGGCGTTGCAAGAAATGCTACCTGCGCAGCAAACAATCGTAGAACTCCTTGTCGACGAGTATTCAATGCCAATCCCAGGGATTCAAATATCGTTCTAATTCTTTGTCCTTTACTACACGACAGCTTCGATATTTATGACGACAATGTAAAACAGTCGAGTATTATATTCACCTATTACAAGAAACAGATAGAAATTTTATTAGCGAAATGTTTTTCTATGAAAATAATTTCTAAGAACTTCTGTTTGTAATATTTGCTATTTTTATAAAATAGTATTTATCATTTTTAATATTTACGAATACATATTTATTAAGACAAGTTGGAAATCAGATTAAGATTGAGATATCAACCTATGGATCGAGTAGCAAAGAAATGCATAGAAATTGTGTAAATGCAATATTATTTAGAAAAGAAAATACTAGTTCCAAAAAAATGTCCATAATTTAATAAATATTTTATCATACTATTCTAAATACTTCGGTTTCTTTACACTTCGTAAGATTATAGGATTCAAATGGAAGAAAAAATAGCGGCAAAAGAAATATAACCGCAATATTAAGAAATAGAATTCAATAATGCAAATTAGCTGAGAAACCTTAATTGTAACTCAATATTAACGAAGTCGAACTTACATGTACTTGTATATTTGCATGTTAGTGCAGAATACTTTCCTTTCCAATAATCAATAAAGTTAAGGTATTGCGCAAGAATCAGTTCTACCTCGCATTTAATTTCGTTACTCATACAGACCTGTATCCCTACAAAATTTATTCGAATGCTTATAGGTGCTTATGATCATCGCGATCGATTACCTCGGGTGTGGTCGGTCCAGAAGTGAAAGTACCGTCGTGACAATAAAGATTCTACATTATTATGCCTACCATCTTTCGTGAAACCATTGTCGACAGTCGAAAGTCCCACCGAAAAAAAATATCCATTGCTGTAAATTTCGATCGTCCGATACTTTGCTGGAGTTCGCCATTCCGTGGTGCCAAATGGAGATATTTATGATCTGTTAATCATTCGATGCTTGAAACTAATGGAATCTGTAAAATAAAGTTCAGGCAATAATATTATTGACGAATTTATGAAACGCGACAGTTAACTTTCGTTTTATCGAATGTAGTACGAATCTTAGGTACAATTGAATTCTCCGTATTTTTTAAACTTACGAAACGTTCGAATTAAGGATGATAAAATAAGTAACCACTTTAATTTAATTTCATCGGGATTATTCGGTTTGGTGTCGTTATTAATTACTATAATAAATAAAACTTTCGCAAAATGTTTTACATCATCGTCAACGATCGTTATCTTAATTTCTATGGTCGGCGAACAGTTACTTCGTGAAAATTTGTCAGACACGCGCTCTCTCCTTCGCCGGAATCACTAATTACATGTAAGATACGAAACATTTCACTAGCGCCAGCCCATTAATATCAACTTCGACAGACCACGAACACGGTGGTCCGCTGAGGGAGGATTTCTCGAAGTTGTCATTAATCACCGTATCAAGAACAGGACAACTTAAGAGAGACTTAGAAAGCGTCTGGTTTCCTCCAATAATTCCGCTACCATGTGATCACTGAATTGCAATACCACTAAGTTTATATTTACATACTTGATCTGACTATGATCGTAACTTTAAGGATAGGTCAATGTATATATAATTTATTTCGTTTTTACGTATTTCTATTAAAAGCAAAGCCTACATCCTCGAATCAAGTACGAAATATGTTACTACTAAATTAAAGAGGTCATTGTTATGACAGACAGTTATTCTAATGAATACATATATACATATACATATACATATACATATATACATTTATTCTTCAGTTTGGAGATTGTTACGGAAATCTAATGTAAAACTTTTTCGATTATATTAATCACATACATTAATTACATCTTTTGAAATTTTACTACATCATAGAAGATAGTACAATCAAATGATTGATTTAAAACAGGGATATGTTTTACCAAAATACATCAAATTTTTAAAAATTATTACCTAAATAATTACAATTGTGAAATAGGCGTAATTATTTTAAGTGTGTAATAATATACATCTTTTTAATGCTTCGTAACGATTTTAAGCTTTTACTAATAAGTACATCTTTACGCCATCTATCATGAACGTATTTCAAATTATAGTTTATTTAAGATCATCAAGTATGTATTACCTTATATCTAAGATAAGTGAGTATTTGCAAATTAATAAACATGATTCTCTGTTTTTCTCTCTAAAATAAACATTTATCGTAACTTTTGATAGAATAGAATGTTTAATATTTGAAAATATATTTTACGCGCGTTTATCTGCATATGCTTTTCTCATGTCTAAATATCCCGCTAGATGACGCTCGCGTACCTTTAACGAGATACTTGTTTAACGACGAGAGGTAATGTTAAAAAAGTTAAATAATTATTTAATTACTTCATAGATAACTGTTGTATTGTATACTTTTCAGTCATAAGTCAAATTCTTTTATAATTTAGCTCATTTTAATATCAATCGAACTCATTATGTCTAAGTATACAGACAAATAACCTCAAATTTTTATTTTACATATTGTATTACTGTGTATCTCATTATAATGCTTTAAGAGGTTTATTAACGTACTTCTTTTATTTATATCAAACATACAAAATTCTTACAAATATCATAGAATATCTTATATAAAAATTCATAATAAATTTGTCTATTTGTTTTAAATATTTTTGATCATGTAGAGCAATCTCCTATAAAATTGTCTTGTTTACATTTGTTAACAAATTTCAAAATACTACTTTGAAATTTGGACGGATATTTCCTTAGACCATTATCAGTCTTTTCGTTAAAATGTAAAAAGTTCTAAGCTTCAAACTAATCGTACATTACTGACACGTATGTTAATTATGTGTTTATAATATTTAATATTAGACACGTCAAAATAAATAATCATAACCAAGTTGAACACAAGTTTTTGTTTGATCTAAATTATCTTTTAAATAATACTATTTCTCTAAATAAACATTTTGTTTGAAGAAGATGTACAAAAGTAGAAGATTATATCTGTATCTCTCAAGACACTGTATCTTATTTTGGTGCCAATCAATGTACTTGATATCTTATAGTTAGTATTATGTACCTACTTAAGGCCACAAAAGCTCTATATTCGGAGATTGTAATTCTTCAAATACTTTGTACATTGACAACACAACAAACCAACAATATATCTGAAAAGATAATCAATTATATAATAAATACAATTTAAATATACGTTGTATCATATAATAAAAGAATATATCAAATAAATTGTTTTATGCTTACATTATAGGACATCCAGAACCAAATACACATCGCTGCAAATGTTGCATCAAGCTATAATCATAACATTAAGATATCAATTTACAAACCTGTAAAAAAATGCATTAATGGAATATACAAAACTTACATAGATGTAATAACCTCCTACAAGCCAAAGCCCAAAAACTAATTGGAATAAACATACAATGAACCATAATATAAGCCAGGGAAGTAACCATCCTCTTATTCCTTCTTTTAATCCATGCATCATCAAACCGCTTGATATTATCAAGAGAACAAAATAAAAGATCATAAATCCTCCACCAATTTGCATTGCTAAAAAGTCATGTATATATATATATATATATATTATATTATATTATATATATATTATATTATATTATATTATATTATATATATATTTTATATATATATATATATATATATATATATATATATATATATGCGTATATAT